ATCTTCCAAAATCGATTTAGACATAAGGGGGCTTTTAACATATTGTAGTGTTGTAGGGTATCACATAGTCGGCCCCGCACGACTATAGCTTTTGCTTACTTGTTTCATTTTGAATTAAACATTTGGTAATATTTCTACAGCTAACAAAACTAAGTAAGATATCATATACAGATTGCATTTATGGCCCGATCCTTACGAAATTTTGCATGGGGATAAGATGAGGGTCAGAATAGAAGCCTACTCTTTTTGGAGATGATCGCCATATATTTAGGGGTTAAAATGGACCAAAAAACTGCAAAATTGTCAGCAGGTCGTAATTATCGCCCGATCCTCACGCACATTTGAATGGGGGTTACCGGACATTTCAAAAGCCAAGCAGTTTTGGATGGCCATCTAAAAATATTCAATGTGTGAAATAGTTTGCCAACTTTTGCAGACAAAATACGAAAATGTCCGTTCCAATGACTTTTTGGAGATTTCACAAATACAGGAAAGACGCACTTCTGACTATTTCGTTACCGCTGATTTCGCTGAAGAATATAGTCAAATGTCTGTATCTCATATAGATGCGTTTCAGTCAAAAACCAATAATAAATGTTAATCTTTTGCCACTTCTGAGAGATTATAGGTCTTTGGGAAATATTGGTTCCAGATCTAGGATCTTCCAATAAATTGGAAATGAGCAAATTAGTTTAAGTTGCTATTATTCGAAAATTAGAGAACGAAACCTGATGGTTTTCTTTTATTATTTGTCAAAATATCTTGTGGAATTCTTTCGAGTATCTCGCCTATATGTATGGTTTATTATAGTCTTGTAGGGTATTCAACGGTCGGCCCCGCTCGACTGTAGCATTTGCTTATTGGTTTTTTCTAAGCTCAATTGGGTCGTATGTGCGAAACTCCATCCTATTTGGACTTATAATACACATTTGGTGCACAATAAAAGGCAAATCAGGCAAATATATATATGGGTGGTAATCTATAAATAAATGTGACCTGCTATTTACGGACGGAGAGACGGATGGACGGGCGGATAGATGGACTGATATGAATTAATCGACTCAGACTGTGATTCTATGCAGAACATCAAAAGGAACTATGGGTCTATCTCGCTTCCTTCTCCAAGTTACAAACAAATGCACAAAGACATAATACCCAGACCACAGTGTGAACAAATAATGATATTTTCTTCATCAGACCTTCAAATGTCAAATTGCAGCCGAAATAGTTTGAATTAGAGCTGATAACTTCAAAATACAAAAAATCGTTAGGTACAGTTTCATGGGGTCTATACCTTTATGTGAACCATTTTCAACACCAATTATCCTAGAGAACATACCGGTATTCGCGTCAAACTTCAAAGCTCTACATAAAATAATAGTATAGTTGACAGACGGACCTCGTTAAGTCAGTTTAGAATTTAGAATATTGATATTCCATTTCATGATGGAGGGCATAACAATATTATAAAATTCTCTCTCTCTCTTGCTACAAGCTCCATTCTAAAAAAACATCTGTTTCTTTAGTTTATGATGCAATTGGCATAGATACTTGCATTTGTTCTATAATACATTAATTTCTTCATTCGACTCCAATTCTAATTGTTAATTAAATAAACATTATTGAGTAGTTTCAAACATATATTCATACATAGATGCACATGTTTGTGCAGTGGTTTAAGATATTGTAAATATATGCATGCATTCCCGATCTATACAGACAGGAAATATTAAATTAATTAACATAATTAATGTAGAGTGGACAATGTTTTTGTAGACTTTCGTCATATTGACTCAATATTCACAATGTTATGATATTGTCATAGGTCTAACATTTCTTTTTATCAATGTGAGTGTATTTCATAAAGAATTGGACTCAACTATCTTTAATGAATGTTTAATATTTTCCTCGTCACATATACGTTTATATTGTTGTGTATTCTTCAGTTATTAGAAATTATCTAAATGCAGTGTCAAATTAAATATTTGAATTTTTATAAATGTGATTTTTTAGAATGGCAAGATGGCAATGCTATCTTTATAGAGACAGTATTCATATACAATAATAGCCATGTTTTATTATACCCTCAGCCATATGGCTACAGAGGGTATATACAATTTGATACGATCAAAACGTGCCCAGTCGATGTCCGTCCGTCTGTCTGTTTGGCTGGCTGGTGCGCACGATAACTCTCGAAGGGAGTACCCGATTTGGTGCAAACTGGGTACATCGTAATATTTTCGTCAAACTTAGGTCGAAATTTTTAAAAAATATATATTTTTTTGCACAGAAAGAGAAAGGATAATCCGATTTTGCTCCAACTTTGCAAATCCTAATATTTGCGTCAGTGCTAGGTCAGATGTGAAAAAGGACAATATCGGTCTACTCCGTCAAGTACCTCCCTCACAAATTGTCAAAATGTCGAATAATTAAAACTCTTATATAATGTGATGTAAGAGTCCGATTGTCTTCAAATTTCACACATCCCAATATTTACATTAACCCAAGATCTGGTGTTAATATGGACAATATCGGTCCACTTCTTCTGGTAACTCTCCCACAAAAGGTCGAAATTTTCAAAGAATATATTTTTTGCACAGAAAGAGAAAGGCTAATCCGATTTTGCTCCAACCTTGCAAATCCTAATATTTGCGTCAGTGGACGATATCGGTCCACTCCGTCAAGTACATCCCACACACATGGTCGAAATTTGCAAAAAAAAAATATTTTTTGCGCCGAAAGAGAAGCAATAATCTAATTTTGCAAATCTAAGTATTTGCGTCAGTTCTAGGTCTCATGTCCGATTGTCTTCAAATTTCAAGCATCCTACTATTTTTTTAACCCAAAATCTGGTAGTAAGACGGAATATATCGGTGCACTTCCTCTGGTACCCCTCCCACAAACGTTCAAAATTTTGAATATCCATGAAGTTCATAAAAAGTGAAATCAGCATCCGATTCTATTCAAGACATTGGTACATCTCAATATTTCCATCAACACAAAATGTGTTATAAAGATGGTAGAGATCGGACCATTTTTTTTGTTACCTGCCCCACATAGCGTTAACAATTTTGAAAAACTCGACGCTCAAAGAAAGCAAAATAAGCATAGGCCCACCACAAGGAGATTATCCAATGCCGTTTTGTAAGCCAAGGATTTCGGGAATGTGTTTTGTCTCGAACTTACTGCCCCATCTTTTGAAGGATCTCTATCGTCCACAACAACCCGCAGACTTCAACGTTTGATTGCGAGATAAAGTCAATTCATGTAGAGTTTTATCTCGCCATTTATTATTGGATCCCCACCTTGCAGGTACTTTTCCAATTTCTTCTTGTTGACCTGGACTTCTACGCTCTTTATGCGGACTCACAATCGGTGTCGATCACTGCTTGCACAACTCGTGCATATAGTGCTTCCTGATAATTATAGAAAAAATATGACCGCTCTTTTCCATGTTCCGTGGCCACCTTCCTCTACTATGTTAGCTGAGTCTCCTTTGCAGAGACTACATGTCTGCTGTCACACTCGCCTTTCTTTGACATTGCCTGTCTTTTGTTTCATTTGTTCTCCATTTTCAGGCACCAGACCAGGTTTGCCCGTAATACGAATGGGTGGGAAGTTCTATTTCTTTTTTGGAGGAAGGCTCCGCGGCATTTTGCTCCTCTGGGGATTTGATTCTTTCTCCTGCCTCTGAAGAAGTGAAAGGAGAGCCTCTGGAGTTTTTTGGGATCTTCCAGCCTTGAAGCCACGGCCTTCCTTACCTTGAAGCCTCATGGAGAAGTAAGCGAGATAGTCCCATAGTTACTTCTGAGGATCTTTATAGAATCACTTTCTGAGTCGATTTATGGCAGTCCGTCTGTCCATGTATTTTTGTAAACAAAATGCAGGTCGCATTTATTATCCGAGTGAGATAAACTTTTCCAAAAAAAAAATTTTTTGGCCGAAATATAAATTGGTGACCATATATATTTTCAACCGATTTCGGGTTAATTGTGACCAACAACTGACCAACATCAGTTCAAATGACGTGAATTTTGACACTTCCGACGGAATTCAGTCCAGAAGCAAATGCATTAAATTTGGTGAAACTCGATTCAGATATAGCTATAGTTCCAATATACATTTTTTATCCGATTTGATCTTTAAGTCCCACACATGGGTAATATGCACTCCACAAGAAAGATATTTGATACAAGATATCAGAAACAGGCCAGAAACACCCCTCTTAAATTCTGTCGAGATCGAATCAGATTTGGATTAAATACCAAATGGCTAATACCAGCCCAAATGGACTATATTCTGGAACATCCGGCGGAATTTAGTCAGGTACCAGGAATTAAGTCAGTTGTGAAAATGGGCAGTATTAGTCCGTTTCCTCTAATTCCTTCCCCACAAGATGTCAATGTTTTGAGGAATTATCTTATTTTGTATCTTATTATGATTCCTTTAATTGGCGGAGTTTCAATACCAATCTCTTTACCTAATGGAACGAAGACCTAAATCAACCAATTATAGTTGTGACAATTTTTCGGCCTTATGCCAATACAAAAAACACATTTAAAATATATATATATATTTGCTCAAAATTTGTTTGTAGAAATCCCCTTTTACAAATTCTACCTCTTTGTCTACTTTTCTGCAAAAAATCAATTATTTTCCAACTGCATTCAAATGAAACCAAATTTGAAAACATTGGGGATTTCCACCTTACTCTGAAGTAACCAAAGAAAATTCACATCAATGGGGATTTTTCCATTGGACAAGTGCAGTAATGCAGCTCCCCTACTTTAACTCAGGAAAGCCAAACTAGTTTCCTTCTTCGTCAGCATCCCATCAAAGCCAGCTAGCAAATGTGTAAAATGCAGCTATTGTAACCCCCAGGTTAGAGCATTTGCACAAAGTGTTCTTTGCTGCATTTATTCCATGTCGAAGTCTCCTCAGAAGCATTGACAACAACAATAACAACAACGGCAACAAAAACAAATTTTCCAAACAGTTGTAAAAATGTCAGTATAAAATCGCTTTAAGGTGGAGTGTTAATAGTTTTATTCGCTCATTTCGAGGTTGTTAATAAAACGATAAAGACGTGACGTTCGACTCAAATGTAAACAAAGTGTTAACGCTTAACAGGCGAACAAAACAGGCAACAAATTCACAACGAATGGGAAAAATAAATGAATAGAATTTTCAAAAAAATAAAACCAACTAAACGAACGGTAATAGGATCAAGTGTAACAAAGTGAAATAAGTTCTATTTTCGAATAAAGTGATTTAGTTTCAAATAAAATAGTAAATACGCAAAAAAGAAACAAACATTTTCGAACGGATATAACGAACTAAACATTTGAAAACATGCTTTTCCAATTGACACGCAAAAGTTTTCTCACAATATTGGGATTTAGTTTTCTGATAGCGACCATAATCGTTTTGTGTTTCACCACCGCCACCATATCGGAAATTGAAAAATGTTTTAGCACGGAAGTGGATACGGAAAATTCCACATTGGAGTTAGTGCATATTGTAAGTGATGGTTTTATGTATTTTATTAAAAATAAATAAAAACAAAAAATATATGTGTGTGTATAAAATCAAAAGTGTCATTCGTAATGTAATGGATATGACGAGTTGTAATAAAACAAAGAATAAATTAATAAAACTGATTTAATTCAAATTGGTAATAGAGCTATTGAATGGAACATGAATTGATTTCAATGTAACTTAAAATATTCTGAACTATTAACGGGAGAACGGACTTTATGTATCGTCAGACAATTTAGAAGCCAAATACGAAAAAAGGAAAAACATTAAAAATAGGAAAAATTACAATAAAATGCTATTACAACTTTTAAAAAATTAAAACTTTTTAAAAATATAAAATCGGCCAGTGTCCTTATATGTGAAGCTGTATCAGAAAGAAATGAAAAATTTAATTGAAGACAATTGCATTATTTCATTTCAAGACAAGTGAAAAATATAAACCAGAGACAATTAGAAACTAAAATGCCTAATTATAGGCAAATAGTGCCAAAATTAAAAAAGAAAGTGAATTCAGTAAGGAAAAGTTTAAAGTCGGGGGGGCCGACTATATGATACCCTACACCACTATGCTATCTAATAGAGCTCCCGTAACAAAATAATTTATTTTATGTAGATTATACCACCTATCAATATTTAGTCTTAGAATAACTATAACTGGGCTTCAGAGGGAACTAATATCTGGGAGACATATCCAACTCTGAATCGATTTTCACTAAATTTGACGGAGACATTATTCTTTTAAACCAAATAACATTGCTATAGGGTGCATGATATCACTTCTAGAAGGATATTATTCAACAAAATATATTTCGGAGTCGAGTTTCACAAGATGGAAACGTACCTTCCGAAATACACTACATTTGGGCTGATATTAGCCATTATTTGCACAATAAACCTGAAATCGGATAAAGGATTATATGGGAGCTATATACAAATCTTAGCCATTCTCGATAAAGTTTGGAAAAGGTTGGTCCTTGGGCAAAACAAATATTGTTTGGAAAATTTCATCTCATTTAGATAAAAATGCGACCTGCATTTTGTTCACAAAAATACATGGACAGACGGACGGACATGCATAAATCGACTCAGAAAGTGATTCTATTAAGATCTATCTCGCTTCCTTCTCCATGTTATAAACAAATGCACAAAAACGGAATACCTATACCACTATGTGGTGTAGGGTATAAAAAAAATCAGCAGCAAATTCAAAAAATGAGGGTAATATAATTTGATACCTCAAAAAGATGCCTTATCGAAATATCGGTTTTAGAACCAATGTCTCTTTGGACGAAATTCTTTTCAGGACAAGTAGGGTTGATCTAGTACCTCCCTCATAGAAAGATAAGGCATCATTCGATTTTGTGCAAATTTTGCAAATTTGAATATAATATTTTTTTCAAGACAAGATCTGGTGTAAAAATGAGACATGTAGTAATTTGTCCACACAAAGGCTCCAAATTTTCTATTTTTATAACCCATTAAATGCGAAAAATCATCCGATTGTCTTCCAATTTCACACATTGAAATATCTTTATTAACACAAGATCTGGTGTGAAGATCGAAAATACAGGCTTACTCCTTCAAGTACCTCCCCTCAAAAGGTCAACATTTGAAATAACTATATCTCCCATTAAATGCGAAATCATCCGATTAACTTCAAATTTCTCACATTTAAATATTTTTACAAGATTTGGAGTGAAGATATCGGTTGACTCCTTTCCTACAACTGGTCAGAATTTTGAAAAAGTATAACTCTCAAAGTGTGCAAGGCACTTCATCGATTCCTTTCAAACTTGGTTTCTCTCAAACTGAGATGTGATCTGAATGTGGAATTTATTGGCCCACTCCTTCGGGTACCTTCCTCAAAAGAAGTCAACATTTTGAATAATTATAACCCTTATAACCTGCAAAACAAGTCAGCGATTTTTATCAAATTTCGCATATCTCAATACTTCTGTTAACCATAGATCTAAAAAATATGTCGGTCCCATCTTTTTGGATAAATTTTGACTAACAAAAAAAAAATGTAAGTGTTCTATTTTTTTTTTAAATTTTGCACATCAAAAATTATTATGGTTCGGCCTACTGTATCTGGTACATGGTGAAGATTTGACACAGGAAGTAGTCCATATATACGAAATGGGCAATATTGGCCAACCCTTTCCCTCATAAAGGATTAAAAGCTTCAATAATCATAATGTAACTCAATATGTATGTAAACAAACAGACATTGTACTTTTAACTTATTTTAAGCTTTTTTTATACCCTACAACACTATGTGTTGGGGGTATTATTAGTTTGATTGGGCCAACAATTATGTAACACCTCGAAATATTGATTTCCCACATAGGAAAGTATATATAAATCTTCCGAGCTGAGTCGATCTAGCTATGTATGTACGTCCGTCCTGTCCATGTTATGATCCGAACCTCACGAGTATTTTGATGGAGGTGCAGTAATGGTCAGAATAGAACTATATTGCTTTTGGAGATGATCGCATAATATTTAGGGGTTAAAATGGACGCGAGAGTTAGCATGGATCTAGAGTTTAGGACTGGGCAGAAGTCTTCCAATTTGGATGGTCATCGGGTAATATTTAGTGGGTGAAATAGACCATGACATTTGCATTAAATAAAAGTCAAATTTTCCATTAAACCGCGAATAGTTTTAATCACAGCGAAATCACAAATAGATGAAAAGGTAAATTCTGACCTCTACGAAGATGCCGATAGTAAATATATCGGATAAGGAAAGGGATGTTAGATAGAATGGTTATATCTCAAGAATGGCTGGATCGATTTTGCCAAATGTTGTCAATACCGAATTCCCTCTTTGCATAAAAGAATAAAATCTAAAAAATCACATAAAAAGAAGCCGATAATGATGTTATTATAGATTTTGTAGCATTCTGTTTTTTATTTCATATTTTTTATCACATGCGATTTTTTAATATTGATTAATATTGATTATTGATATTAAGGAGTTCAAATGTCCGTCCGTCCGTCTGCCCATGTTCATTTGTAATCAAGCTACAGGTCGCAATTATGGCCCGATCCCCGAAATTGAAAATGGAGGTGGTTAGGGTGGTAGGTTAGGGTCAGAATATAACCCTATTGTTTTTGGAGATGATTGCAAAATATTCAGGGGTTGAAATGGACCAAAAACAGAAAATTTTCTTAATTTTGCAGTTACGCTATAGGCCACAATTATGAACCAATCGACGAAATTTACATGGAGTTAGAGTTTAGAACCAACCTACCAATTTAGAGGGAAAATAGACCCTAACTTTTATGTATGAAAATAGGAAAATTTCCACTAAACAGCGAATATTTTTAACCCCAGCCAAATCACAAATACATTTAAAAGTCACTCCTGACCATTATGCTGAAAGCCAAGAAATCGGATATATAGCAAAATAGGAATAATAAATATGTAAAATAAGTAGATTTTATTTATTCAGCTTATAAGTCAAAAACCGCTGGGACGATTTTCACAATTTCCATCAATTCGGAATGGTCTCTGGCCAGAAAAGGATAAAATCTAAGAAAATCGCTGAAAAATATACCAATAAATTAGTGAATATCTTTTGTTCCATTTTTTTTTCAATTTTTGTCATATTTTTATCGCATGCGATTTCTTCAATTTGACATACAACTTTGAATTGAAAATTTTCTAAATTTTTACACCCCTCAAGACTACGCTTTGAGGGTGTTATATGCATGTCGCAATTATCGTCCGATACACGAAATTGCCTGGGGTAGCGTCAGGGTCAGAACTCAAACCTATTGTTCTTAAGATGTATATTTAGGGGTTCAAATATACTAAAAGAATTTAAATTTTCTAATTTTGTATTCGCTCTATAGGCAACAATTTAAAACTAATCGACACGGAATTACGTATTTGGGTGACTATTGAATTATTTTTATACCCTACACCACAAGGTGGTCAGGGTATTATGTCTTTGTGCATTTGTTTGTAACAGGCAAAAGGAAACGAGCTAGACCCATAGTTCCTTTTGATGATCTGCATAGAATCACATTGTTAGTCAATTTATGCATGTCCGTCCGTCCGTCCGTCTGTCCATCTGTCCATGTATTTTTGTAAACAAAGTACAGTTCGCATTTATTGCCCTATCCAGATGAAACTTTGCACAAATCATTTGTTTGGCCCAAGGACGAACCCTATTGAAATTGGAGATAATCGGTCAAAATTTAGATATAGCTCCCATATATATCTTCGTCCGATTTGCCTTTTATTGTGCACCAAATGTGTAATAGTATGGAATAGCATGGAATTTTGCACGTACGATCAGATTGAACCTGAAAATAAGTATGCCAAATTTGATCGAAATCGGTTCAGATATAGCTATAGCTCCCATATATATTGTTCATCCGATTTGTTATTTTTGTCCTCCGCAGCCGTAATATGCACTCTGAAACAACAATATTTGGGGAAATATATCAAATACAGCTCCTCTGGCTTTCTGCCATCCAAATTTCTGATATTTTTGTCTAAACGATTGAGTATGTATGTGTACTGTAAACGTACCTCCCTTCTACAGACATTTGAATGCGATTTGCACGTTTGTGAAAATTGCAGGAAAATCGGTTCATCCTTTTTCGAGTCTAAAAAGAATATGCCAAGATAATATAGATTAAGTATTTGGATATTCCAAATTGAGGTCATAATTTCAATTATCAAAAATTAACGCTATTTTAACTTATAATTGCCTGTCATTTGCTAATATTCCTATTTCTTTTAAAACAGGTTCTCCGTCATGGACCACGAACTCCAGTTGATACCTATCCGAAAGATCCATATTTACATTCCAAATTTGAACCCACCGGATGGGGCCATGTCACCAATGTATGTTAAATTTTTGTTATTTTCAAAATATTCCAAGACATTTTATAGCTATTTTCACTTTACAGAAGGGCAAACGTGAACTCTTTGAGTTGGGTGAACTGTTGAATCAACGTTATGGAAAATTTATGGAACCCTATTATACACCAGATGTAAGTCCATTTTCGATAAAAATTGGAAGAAATTTTTCAAATTTGTTTCTTTGCAGAAAGTGCATGCCCAGGCTACGGCTTCACCGCGTGCAATGATGACTCTGGCCACGGTTTTGGCCAGTATGTTTCCGCCACGCAATACCCCAATGGAATGGCATCCAGCCCTAAATTGGCAGCCAATACCAATATTTTCAGAACCATTAGATCAGGATTCGGTAAGTGGTATTCAATTTCAAGTTATTAAAATGTTTCCAACTTAAATATACATTATATCCTTGCCAAACTCAGCTCCTTTTGGTCCGAACACCTTGCCCCCGTTACTTCGAGGCACGCCAAGAAGTTTTGGAATTGCCGGAAGTAAAAGAAGAACATGCCAAATATGAAAGTCTTTTCCGAAACTTATCGGCCCTGACAGGTCTTAACATAACCGAAGCTGAACACATCAATTCATTGTATATAACACTGGAGGCTGAACGTGATTTTGGTTTACCGCTGCCGGCATGGGCTAAAGACTACTTTCCAGAGAAAATGCAATTTATGGCGGAACAAAGTTATATCTACAATGCCTATACGCCAGAAATGCAAAAAATCAAAGGAGGGCCATTTCTCAAGAAAATGTTCGATGAAATGTTGAAGAAACGAGATAACACGCTAAAACCGGCAGATCGTAAAATGTTCATATACACCGGACATGATTGGACAGTGGGTAGTATTTTGTCGGCCCTAAAGGTGTGGGAACGACAAATGCCCAGGTTTTCAGTTATGACAATATTTGAGTTGCACAAAAATGCGGAGACCGGAGAGTATTATGTGGAGGTAAGTCTAATGGCCACCTATGACGGGTTTTCTCTGTTATTGGTTCGCGTGGTACGTTTCATCACACAGAACTTTGTATTAAAGTGACCGACAAATTCGAGTGGTTACTAATGTTATTTAGAGATCAAGGCCGAATAAGCTTGCTGATTCGGTAGACTTTTTTGCTGGTCGGCCGGAGAATTAGTTTCTTAGTGGGTCGACAAAAGGGTGTGGCGATTTATGTTTCACTTCTATTTTTGGAAGCTGATGGCGGTTCTCTGACCAGATATATGAAGAGACTTTGAACTTCGCAGGAGTTCATGTCAGGTATTAGGATCGCAGATTAGTTCGTCAGGATATGCTACGGTCTACGATGGAATAATGGCCAGAAGCCTCTGAAGAACAATGAGCCGAAGTACCATTGGAACCTCGAGGCAAAGATCAATCCAAATCTATTATTTCTCCTCGAAATAACGATTTTAGACCCTAGGTCTTTTTGAATCAAATCCGTTTCAGGACATCTGCCGTCGATATGGCGATGTCCGTCCGTCTGTCTGTTTGACTGGTGCAGACGATAACTCTCGAAGGGAGTACCCGATTTGGTCCAAACATGGCATATCGTAATATTATCACAAAACTTAGATCGAGTTCGGAGATGGGCAATATCAATACACCCCTTATTGTACCTCCCCCACAAAAGGAGGACATTTTCAAAAAAAAAAAAATTATTTTACTGCCCCGAAAGAGAAAGGATAATCAGATTCTATCTAACATTGCAAATCCTAATATTTGCGATAGTTCTAGGTCAGGTGCGAAAATGGACCATATCGGTCCACTCTATCGTGTACCTCCACCACAAAGGGTATAAATTTTGAATAATTATATATCTTATAAGACATGAATGAGAATCATCAAAATATTTTTATAAACTCAAGATCTGTTGTGAAGATGGTAGAGATCGGACCATTCCTTTTGGTACCTCCCCCGCTAAGGGTCAACATTTTGAATAACCAAAGCGATAGTAAAATCCATAATAACCATCAGGCTCTCTAAACATTTCACACATCACATTAATGCTACTAGCATAAGATCTGCTGCGAAGATGGGATATATCACTCCACTCCTTCTGGCTCCTCCCCCACAAATGGACAAAATTTTGAATACCCATGATGGCTATAAATCGCGAAATTAAAATCCGATTCCATTCTGGCTGGGTACATCATAATAGTACCATCAGCACAAGATCCGTTACAAAGATAGTAAAGATCGGACCAGTTCTTCGGGTTCTCTTCACATTTTACACATCACATTATTTCCACTTACACACGTGCTGTGAAGATGGAATATATCGGTCCACGCCTTCTGATACCTCCCTCACAAAGGGTCAACATTTTGAATAACCATGAAGTTCATAAAACGCGAAATTAACATCCACTTCTATTCAGGCTTGGCACATCTCAGTATTTCTATCAACACAAGATCTGTTACAAAGATGGAAGAAATCGGACCATTCCTTCTGGTACCTCTCCCGCAAAGGGCCAAAGTTTTGAATAACCAAGGAGATCGTAAAATCCGAAATTACCTCCGGTTCTCTTCATGTTCCACACATCACATTATTTCTACTAACGTAAGATCTGCTGTGAAGACAAGATATATCGGTCCACACCTTCTGGTACCTCCCTCACAAAGGGTCAACATTTGGAATAACTATGAAGTTCATAAAACGCGAAATTAACATCCGATTCCGTTCAGATTTGGTACATCTCAATATTTCCATCAACACAAGATCTGTTATAAAGATGGTGGAGATCGGACCATATCTTCTGGTACATTATCACATATCTCATATAAAGAAAAGAAGGACCAATGTAGTCCAACCCAGGCACGTCGCAATATTTATATCATAATTATTTAGGTCCGATACTAAATGGACAATATTGATCTATTCATACGGAACCTACTCCATATAATATATTAGAATAATCGAACATTGGCTGAGGGTATACACCTAACGGCAAAACCCATTGATACCTTTTAACTTGTTTTTATTAATTTTCCTTTTTAATTTCAGATTTTCCTGCGCAATGATGAAAAAGGTTGCCTGCACGAGTTGAAGTTGCAACATTGCCATCGAAAATGCCCTTTGGACCGGTTGGTGGAGCTAAGTGCCGATGTCTTGCCCAATGAACCCTACGAACAACGTTGTAGAGCCAAGAATAGTAATTTTGTTGAACCACCGCCAAGGTTGATCGATCAGTAGTATAGCTGGCCAACATAACTCCAACAATTGTGGTAGCATTAGATTCTAAGATAGTTTAAATTTTTTTTTAAAGTTAGCATAGTTGGCCAGTTTTATGGTTTCGATACGAAGTGGTAATTAAATTTAATTACTTGTTGAAGCGAACAAAGCGAAACGCACACACACACACACACACATAGGAACCTTGTAATTACGTATTTTATAAACTTTTAGATAAGGTCTAGTTTGTCTTTGCGCCATACGTTGGTGCTTTTGTTATTGTATGTATGAGTGTATGTATGTATGTATGTATGTATGTGTTAATTATATTTGTAGCTAATTAGCAATTCCATCATTGTAAACCATCCACATTTTGAACTTGATCTTTTTAACGGTTGTTTAACTATAAAGTCATATCTAACATCTATTCTTGAAGTTGAAGCTTTCAAAGAAACTGAAAACTACAAGTTCAAGTATCAGTTAAGTTTTTTAATAAAAATGAGCTTTGACTTTGCAACAAAGCAAAGCTGGCATTTGAGATAAACGAGTTTTTTCTTGTGGTAAGAGAAAAAAGTAGCAACAAACAATTTAAGAGAGTTGATATGAGAATTTGCTGAAGTAAGAATTGTTTATTACAAAACTTTTCAAATATGATGGTGTCTCTATCTTCTTAAAAAAACTAGAAAGAGGCAGCAAAGTTCGGACGGGCCGAACTTTTAATGGCCTCCAACATTTGGAGGGAACTAGAAAAATTTCAAAAAAAAAACCGAAAACTACCACTTAAATGAAAATCGTTATATGGGGACTATACGAAGATGTGGACCTGCATACGAACTTTTTGGTCATAGGCCGTAGGACACATTACGAACTTTAAATGCGTAATTTATTACAATTACGGTGAATAATGTCGCAACAATCATAAAAATACATAGTATCGGGGGCTATACGAAGATGTGGACCTGCATACGAAATTGTTTGCCATTGGTTGTAGTTCACATTAAGATATTCCAATACGACATTTGAAACGATTCTGGTGAATAATGTTGCTGAAATCATCTAAACGCCGAATATCGGGAGGTACCGTTATATGGGGGCTATACGAAGACGTGAACATTTTCTGTAGTACCCATTACGAACTTTTAATACAAAATTTTAAACGATTCCGATGAATAATGTCGCTAAAATCATGAAAGTAACGAATATCGGGAGGTACCGTTATATGGGGGCTATACGAAGACGTGAACATTTTCGTCATAGCCTGTAGTACCCATTACGAACTTTTAATACGAAATTTTAAACGATTCCGATGAATAATGTCGCTAAAATCATGAAAGTAACGAATATCGGCGGATACCGTTATATGCGGGCTATACGAAAACGTGGACCGACATGGCCCATTTAGGAACTTAACCTGCCTAAGTTTTTAAAAAATGTGCGTTATGTTGGAGTTCTCCTTTTGGATATTGGCTTGGCTTAACCCGAGGAGACATTCAGATTTACCGGTGAGGATGAAAACATAAAATCTGGGCGAGTCACACTCTTTACATCCCTTTATCTGCTGCATGTACAACTAAATCTCCCAGGCCTAGACGTAGAAATGCTGCTCGTGGAGCTGGGAAATAAAGGCCACTTCCAAATTGGGTGTCAACGCTAACCACTTTCAATGAGGCAGCAACGACAAAATGCCATATGGGAGTCCATTTAACTGGCAAAATGATGCTTTCCTTAAAAAAAAGGAATAGGGAGGAGCTCATTGGCCTTATCCCTACTAACAAGAATGAATTGCTTATATTGGAATTTATATTCTCTACCTTTTTCGGGCCATTATATACATACACGTATATAAAGAGTAGTAAAATAACTGAATGAATCTTTTTGCTAAGCTTTTGCAAATTCGTAATAAAATGATAAAAAAAAAGTACTTAAGTGTACTAAAAACTACATTCTTTGCATTGGACAAATGGAGTGAGCTAGAACTCGGAAATTCGAAATGAGAATCATTGATGGAGTGCAAGGGTTTTTGGAAATTCGAATTTAAAGCTACATACATACAGCTACATATGAAAAACGACGCTAATACAAAATTTCAGATTTCAATCCATTCACATCATACCAAGTTGGACCAAACATCATACTATATAGTAATTTTCCTGCACATGTAGTACATATTTCCAAAACCATGACTTTATCACAAACCTACCTCCAACAGGGACCCTCAATACAAAATTTCAAAAATTAAAACTTCATCCTACCTATATTCCTCAGTCCTTGAATACAATAGTAATCTTATTTTTATACCCTCCACCATACTATGGAGGGTATATTAACTTTGTCATTCCGTTTGTAACTTCTCGAAATACGCATGTCAGACACAACAAATTATATATATTCTTGATCAGCGTAAAATTCTAAATCGATTTAGCCATGTCCGTCTGCCTGTGTCTGTCTGTCTGTTGTAATCACGCTATCTTTCGAACGAATTGAGATAAAAGGCTAACATTTTGCACACCTGTTTATTTTTCCAGTAGGTAGGTTAAGTTCGTAAGTGGGCCATGTAGGTCCACGTCTTCGTATAGCCCCCATATAACGGTATCTCCCTATATTCGGTATTTTGATGATTTTAGCGACATCAATCACCGAAATTGTTTCAAATTTGGTGTTTGAGTTTCGTAATGAATACTACAGCCTATGACAGAAAATTGTCTGTACAGGTCCACGTCTTCGTATAGCTCCCATATAACAGTACCTCCCAAAATTCGGTATTTTGATGATTTTAACGCCATTATTCACCGGAAGTGTTTCAAATTACGTATTTAGAGTTCGTAATAGGACCTACAGTCTGTGACAGAAAAATGTCTATGCAGGTCCAGGTCTTCGTATAACCCCATATAACGGTACCTCCCTATATTCGGTATTTTGACGAGTTTAGGTACAATACACACTGAAATTGTTTGAGATATCGTATTTGATATTAGTAATGGATGCTATAGCCTGTGACAGAAAATTGTCTATGCTGGTCCAGGTCTTCGCACAGCTCCGATATAATGGTACCTTCCTATATACGATATTTTAGCCACATTATTCACCGTTTATTTCAAGTTTCGAATTTGAATATGGTATGGCTAATGGCAAATAATGCCTATATAGGTCTACGTCGTATAGACACCAATATAACGGCAATATTCGGTATTTTTAAAATTTAACAGAATTTTTTAAGGATTAGGGTAAGTGTACCAGTAGTCGGCACTTTTAGGATTTTCCCGTTTTTAATTGCTCACCATTCTGAGTGGAACATTTCAGTTATTACAAAGTTAATTTATTCAGATTCGAAATTTTGTATAGTTTATGCTATAATAAATAAAGTTTTAATAACTTTTTATTAAATTTCATAAATTTGTAGTTTTATTAAAACAATGCTTTTTTGCCAGTAGTCGGCACCACTTGCCAATTGTCGGTATGGAATTTTTCAACAGTCGGCATACCAATTTTTTTGTAAGAATAATTAATAATAATAATAAATTAATTCATTAAAATATAAAATTTTTGTTTAGTTAAACTGATTCGACGTCTTTATTGTTCTTTCCTTAAGAATATGAATTGTTGAGGACCTTCACAGACAAAAATTTAATTTTTATCAGAATAATTCATTTTTTCTTAGCGAAATTGTGCACAAAGATAGCTGACAATATATTTGAAGTAAACAAAATACATTTACTTATAATAGTTTAATTTATTTGGGCTTAAAAATAAAAAGTGCCGACTACTGGGACATGCCGAACTTAGGCACACTTACCCTATATTTTTTTAAAATTTCCAAATTCGTTCCAAATGATGGAGGGTATTAAAAGTTCGACCCGGCCGAACTTACTGCTTTTTAACTTGTTAAATTTAAAACAGAATTCCAACTCTATAGGTTTTCCCAAATCCGAATTGTACCAAAATTAGTACCATTAAGTACACTTAGGAACAAATTTTCATAGCTACCAATATCATACAGTCCAATAGAAATATTATTTTCAACCTCTACCGGTTTACCCAAAATTTAAATTGAACCAAATTTAGTAACATTTAGTACACATAAGTGCAAATTTCCAAAACTACTGCATTCCACTTCTAATAACCCTTTGGTACATCAGTGACCCTCATCCTAAAATTAAGATTTTTTGCTCTACTGCGTTCTCAAATACAAAGGGTACCATATTAAGTACCTTTAAGTACTTTTCGTACCATTCGTATTTCCTAAAACACAGCTGACCCCTTCAGAAAAGAGTGACCCCCACTCAAAATTTCAAGATTGAAGCTTCAGCCGCTTCGTCTGGGCGTTGATGAATCGTTAAGTCAGGTAGTCAATCAGTAAGTTATTTATACCCTACATCACATGGTGGTAAGGGTATTATATCTTTATGCACTTTTTTGTAACATGGAGAAGGAAGCGAGAGTTACTTTTGATATTCATAGAATCACTTTCTGAGTGGAGTGAACAGAATGCAGGCCGCATTTATTATCCGATTGAGATGAAATTTCCCAAACAATATTTGTTTGGCACAAGGACGAATGTTATTGAAATTGGTGAGAATCGGTTCAAATTCAGATATACATCTTCGACTGATTTCGGGTTAATTCTGTACCAAATGTACAATATAAGTCCCAATTACTTGAATTTTGGCACATCCGACTAGATTCAGTCTAGAAGTAAGTACATCCAATTTGGCGAAAATCGGTTCAGATATGGCTATATCTCCCATATATATGCTTCATCCGATTTGGGGTTTTAATTCCCTCACATGCGTAATATGCGCTAGACAATCTAGACATCTTTGGTACGAGATATAAGATATATTTCAGAAATAAATATTCCAAAATTTCTCAAGTTTAGTTAAGATTTGGATAAAGCTCCCATATACATATATCTCTATCAGGTTTCAGGTTTACTGTGCACCAAATGGCTAATATCTGCCCAAATGGACTAAATTTCGGTAATTCCGACAGAATTTATCCTAGAAACAAGTAGTTCAAATTTGGTGAAAATTGGTTCAAATATAGCTATAGCTGTCATTGGTGTTATGGTCCGATTTGGTGTTAAAGGCCCCTTCATGCGTAATATGCACTCCGCAGCAATGGTATTTGATAACGGACATCAGATACAGCTCGAAAATACCTCTGCCAAATTTTATCGAGA